TTAAAGGAACACGCCAAAGTACTTAAACGCATGTAGCTGGAGCCCTGACGAATGTCAACCTTCGACTGTACTGAGCTGCTTGGAATAGAAAAACGTCCTTTGGAATACTTAAACGCTTTCCTACAACTTGAATTCGCCATGTTGATTGGGCCATTTTGAACGTTTTTGGCCTGACGCGCCAACGTCACCCCAACGATGTGAAAAAAGTCAAAATATTTTAGGAATATTTCATGTGTTTTTCGCCAATTATGCCCCTGCCACATCTTTGTCCCAACGTTATCCGGACGATCCCCCGCCACTTCCTTCGTGTGGCTCACACTTGCACATTTGCCTACTCAAGACCTACCATGCTGGCCCGCTCCATGACCCTCCGCTTCTTCAGTGCCGCTGCTGCCGGCAAGAAGGTTGCTGTCCTCGGCGCTGCCGGTGGTATCGGCCAACCCATGTCGCTCCTCCTTAAGGACAACGACAATATTTCGCACTTGTCTCTCTTCGATGTGGTCAACACTCCGGGTGTGGCCGCCGATTTGAGCCATTGCAACACCCGCGCTAAGGTCACCGGCCACGCCGGCATGGACAACATTGAAGCCGCTTTGACTGGCATGGACGTTGTCGTGATCCCCGCTGGTGTGCCCCGCAAGCCCGGTATGACCCGCGATGACTTGTTCAACACGAACGCGTCGATCGTGCAATCACTTGCCACAGCCGCCGCCAAGTTCTGCCCCAAGGCCATGCTTTTGATCATTGCTAACCCCGTCAACTCGACTGTGCCCATCGTTGCCGAAACGTTTAAAAAGTTTGGCGTGTACGACCCCAAGCGCCTTTTCGGTGTGACCACGTTGGATGTGGTGCGCGCCAACACTTTCGTCGCCGAATCGCAAGGGTGGAACCCCCGTACGACCAACGTGACGGTCATCGGCGGTCACGCCGGCACGACCATCTTGCCGTTGTTGTCTCATCTCAAGCTGGACAAGAAGTGGTCGGACGACGAACTCCATGCGTTGATCAAGCGCATCCAATTCGGTGGTGACGAAGTTGTCAAGGCCAAGGATGGTGCTGGGTCTGCCACCCTCTCGATGGCGTATGCCGGTGCTCGTTTCACCTCGTAAGTCGCATGGTCGTGATGTTCCAGGGGGAATCTCATATGTATTGCCCAGGCGCTTGTTGGATGCCATGTCTGGCGAAAAGAACGTGATCGAGTGCTCGTACACGCAAAACAACGTGACCAAGCTCGACTTTTTCTCGACCCCTGTGACCCTCGGCCCCAACGGTGTCGAAGAAGTCCACTCGTTCGGCAAGTTGAACGCCGTCGAACAAGCCAACTTCGACTCGATGTTGCCAGGTACGACCCATCCGACCTCCGTTGGCGCGGGAACGTCGTGCTGATGGAATTATTGTAGACTTGGAAAAGCAAATCGCCAAGGGTGTTGAATTCGTGCACAAGAAGTAAAACACAAAAACGCACACGTTTTTTTTCAATGGAATTTATTGGGAGCAGGGGTGATGAACAATACCTTAATTGTCGCTTCGCACTTGCAGAACCTGCAGACGGCAAAGACGTCCTGCATCCACATTATTTGTTAATTGTATGGGTATTACAAATAAAGTACGACCTTCAAAGTTGTGGGAAGAGAGCTTTGAACGAGTCATTTTGAAGCGACAAGATGGTGCTGTATGTGATTGGTTTAGGTCTGGGCGACGAGACGGACATCACGGTCCGCGGCCTCCGAGCGGTGCAGTCATGCGACAAAGTATACTTGGAGAACTACACGAGCATCCTTGGCATCGACCACAACACGTTGGTAACGACATCCTCCGCCGTCGTCATGCTTGATTCACTGATTTTGCGTAGAGCAAATTCTACGGCCGCGAAGTGATCCTCGCGGATCGTGACTGCGTGGAAACTGGCGCTGAAGTTATCTACGCCAATGCGAAAGACCAGAACATTGCGTTTCTTGTTGTTGGGGATCCATTCTGGTACAGTCCACCATCAAGCACCTATGGTCAAGCTAAATATTCAATTCGCCAGCGCCACGACCCACTCCGATTTGATTCTGCGTGCCCAGGAGATTGGCGCCAAGGTGATTGCACCTCACCTACTTCAGGTGTCTTAACGCTTGGGGAACAGGTAGAAGTGATTCACAACGCGTCTGTGATGGGTGCCGCGGGCGCGTGCGGGCTGCAGGTAGGGTCTCAAGCAGCCCTTGTACATGACGATTTCGACGTTGTGTAGTTGTACCACTACGGCCAAACCGTGTCGATCCCCTTCTTTAATGACAACTGGCGCCCTGACAGCTTTTACGACAAAATTGCGTTCAACCGTAAGGGCGGTCTACATACGTTGTGTCTTCTTGGTATGCACGACGACACAATCATTGGTTCAGCATTGACAACGTAGCGACGTAGATATCAAGGTGAAGGAACCCGACTTTGAAGCGATGGCGCGCGGCCGCACCGTTTTCTTGCCGCCTCGCTTCATGACTGTCAACCAAGCCGTGGAGCAGTTGCTCGAGGTGGAGGACAAGCGCCAGGAAGGCGTATACTCCCGCGACACACTGTGCGTGGGCTTGGCTCGGTTGGGTCAAACCGATCAAAAGTATGTCACTCATTGTGGAGTTCCTATGGCTGAGGGATCAATTGGATGGTAGGATTGTTGCTGGCACGATGGCTGAGCTGTTGACGGTGGACTTTGGCGCGCCGTTGCACTCACTCGTGATCGCTGGGGACGTCCATGTGCTCGAACAGGAAATGCTGGCGCAGTTCAGCGTCAAGTTGCTCCAACCCGCCGCGGCGAAAGCCGTGGAAGAGGAGAGCACTGCATAGACAATAATTCCAGGCAAAATTACAACGCACGATCGTTGTGACAAATTGTTTTTAACGTCATTTTTAGATTAACCAAAAACTAAAAGTGATTGTGCAGAGATCAACACTCCGATCAAGTGGATAGAATATGAAGGAGTTTGGAGCGGCTTACGTCGGCGACAGCCACAGCGTGTCCGACGGTCTCCGTCTGATCTTGTGGCGGCATCATGATGGTGCTATGTACGAGGTCATTCGAAGGGGAAGCGACAAACCGCGAGCCCTCACATGTTCTGGGGAAGAGTACCTGCAGTCGTTGCACGCAACTTTCCATCACGCTTCGCCAAGCACAGATCTCTCCGTGTCGATTGAAGAGGCCGCTGAAAGGAATGAACTTGTCGTTTCGCTTCGAGAAGATAGAGAAGGTATGAACCTCCGATACGATTCGTGGACCATGCCGCGGCTTGCTGCCTGTCAAAACGCAGTGGAAGCTGAGTTGCGACAACGTTGGTGCGTCGAGTTCGCCATCGAGGTGCGATCATCCAGTGATCAGATGTGTCTATATCGATTGTCGTGACAGGAAGCAAATGCGATTGCATTGAAACGACGTGTGGCCGAATTGGAAGGACTTGTCCATGCGTCTGATGCTTTGGTCACCAAGGCTATTGCAGCCAAAGCTGAAGTTGAATCCAAGCTAATTCAGCAATGCGTGGCGCTGTTGAACACGAAGAAGGTCGAGATCCAACGACTTCAAACATTCTCCAAGAGCCCCAGTCATCGACAACACATCGCATCTCCACCTGCCTCCGACGAAGAGTCGACAGAATTGTCAGGAAACGATGGAGACGACGTGGCAGAAGTCGCCAGCCAAGCCTATAGCCAAGTTCCAGTGCCGCAAACTCATTTGAGTGCCAAACAAGTGCTAAACAGCAGCGACGACGACTTCTTAGACATGCTCTAGCGAGCGGCGCACGTGTGGAGACTACAAGCATAATGTAGCCATAATTCGTCTGAAACCCTGAATATCCAAATAGATCTGCAAATATTGCTAGAAATTTTAATGCAAAAATCATTTTTCTCTATATACGCACCAGAAGGTTTATAATGATTACATAATATAACTTTGAATCCTAAAGGAAAAGCTAATTAGAAGAAATGTTTATCTTATTCACCTGAATTTTGTCAATTTTTACAATAATCATTCTTTAATTTTTGTAATAGTTGTGTGGATGTGCCTGCACTTCTAATTAGTTTAGCTTTACCTTTGAAACTGGAGGTACGATCCAAGCGATTCCCAACAAGCAGCACGCGCTTTACAATGTTTGCCTTGCGCCCGGAGCTTCATCGTATCGTCCCAAGATTGCCCGTGATGAGTGAAAGCCCATTTTTTGGCAAATGACGTTGCAGAACGTGTCAACGTCACTATTCCAAACACCACTTTGCAACCTTCCTTGAAACACAATGTAGACTGAAGCTGCCTTCGAAGTGTCCTTGAATGATGTAGATGGATTGCA